GCCCAGCTAGAAAGATCTGGGTCAGATCCGAAGGGCCCCTTTTCGATTCTTTTTTCCCGGGCAGTCCGTAGATCTCTGAAAAATGGTGAGCAACTTTTCTGTGTGGGGATTTGTACAACAGGACTCTTTAGCCAGGGACTCGGGCTTTTGGGCAGCACCCTCTGCAGAGAAATATTAACATACAGTCTCGAGTGAGAAAGCAGATCAATTTAAGCCAGGTTATTAGAGTAGCTAGGAGCTATTAAATTCAATAAGAAGCTAGAAGACTGTCTCCCTTGACTCTGGCCAACCTAATGTGGAGAAGAGGCCCCAGTTGCTCAGTAACAAAGTTTGACCATTTGCATGCCGATTTGAAGGGCTAGCTTGTTTATCATTCTGTTTGATCCCTGGTATCCACATGGTGGAAACAGAGAACTGAATCTTGCAAGTTGCCCTCTGACTTCTCCATGCCTGCTCATCCTGGGTAGTTTTATGTCAATTTGACACAAGCTAGCCATCTGAGAAGGGAATATCAATGGGGAAAATGCCTTCATAAGATTGGGCTGTTGCTTAATGCACAGTTTTGAACTATAAGCAACGAGCATTCATGTATTTGTACACATAAGAATTTTTTTTTGTTTTTTTTTTTTTGTTTTTTTTGAGACAGGGTTTCTCTGTAGCTTTGGTGCCTGTCCTGGAACTAGCTCTTGTAGACCAGGCTGGCCTTGAACTCACAGAGATCCGCCTGCCTCTGCCTCCCGAGTGCGCCACCACCGCCCGGCACACATAAGAATTTTATTTGAAGCAGGGCTTCACTATTTTGTCCAGGTGGGTCTGGAACCTGTGAACTCATGTGATCCTCTTTCTTCAGCCTCCCAAGTAATTGAAACTATAGGTGCATACCATAGAAATGAAGTTTTACATTTTTATTCTTTAATTTGTTTAAGATATGTTTTATAATGCATGTGTCTGTGTGACTATGTGTAGGTATGTGCACTCGTGTGCAGGTGCCTCTGGAGGCCAAAAGAGGGTGTCAGATCTGCTGGAGCTGGTGTCACAGGCAGTTGTGAGCCACTTACATGAGTGCTGGGAACCAAGCTTCCAGTCCCCTAAGAGAGCAGCACTCCTTCTTAACCGCTGAGCCATCTCTCCAGCCCTGGGTGAATGTTTTGGAAAGATAGCTTTACTGGAAGTAGAAGCGCTTGATGAAACATAATGCTGAGTTTTGATAATGGTGGCGTGTCCTCCAAAGTTTATATTAGGGTTTAACAATAATAATCACTGTTAGAGTACCATGATATAATGGCTCCCCCATTCTTTCATATTATGTAGAGATGTAAGTAGGAACACATATATACATATATTATACTGGCACACGTGAGCCCTAGACAAATTCTGGGGCAAGTCTTATTTTGCCTGATTTCCCTCTCCCTAGCCCCATTTATAAAAACACTACAGAGCCATGTGTGGTGGCTCTTGCCTATAGTCCAGCACTGAGAAGGCTGAGTGAGGAGGGCCATGAATTTGAGGCCAGCCTGGCTACACAGTGAGCTCCGAGTCAATCTGGGCTATAGAGTAAGAGCTCATCTCACAGCAACAACCTCCCCAATACACTCAGGACATTATTTCAAGTCGCTCAATGACAGACACCTATGGAAATAGTTATTAATAGCCGCTTCTGTAGTGAGAACTAAGTGAGGCCACAGGAAAAGTGATGAAGTTCAAGATAAGTCAGGTCCCCAAAGGCAACTCCCAGCTACAGGGGAAATGAGAAGACAGAGATAGCAGCAAGACTCTTTATTTAAGGAAATCACAACGTGTTCAGAAAAGAAAAGGATGAGGTCACAGGAAGGGCTGGGAGGAGAAGATATTTGTACAGCATGTGGAAATGACAGACTTTGCGTCTTCCAGTCGCTAAACACAGGCTCCTCAGCTATGAAGCAGAGAAGCCCGGAAGATTCCCAGGTTCACTTCAGCTTTGTCCTTTGTCACCTGGAAAGCACTCTTTTTGAAAAGAGAATCTAATTTCCAGTGTCACCTATGATCCGCACTTTATCTGCATCCACCCCGGGGACCTAATACCAGGATTCTTCCAGTACACTCAGCCTTTATGTCACCTAGGAAAGAAGCTCCCGGGGCTGGGAGAGTGTGGCTCAGCTGGCAGAGCTCCTGTTGTAGAGGCATGATGACTTGAGTTTGGATCCTCAGCATCCATGGGACAAGCCAGGCTTGTAGGCCCAGCATTGGGGAGGCAAAGACATGAGGACCTCCAGCCAGTCTTCCTGACCCCTGAGCTCCAGTTTCAGGGAGACATCATATCTCAAAACAGGAAAATGGTGACAAAGGGTGATACCCGACATTGACCCCTGCCCTCCACACCCACATGTGAGTACACACACACACACACACACACACACACTTTAAAAAGGAAGACAGGGCCCAGAGAGATGGCTCAGCCATTAAAAGCACTAGCTGCTCTTTCAGAGTACCCAGGTTCGATTCCCAGCATCCTGACTGTATCCTGGAAATCCACAACTAACTATAATTCCCGTTCCAAGGGGGATCTGATGCCCTCGTCTAGACATATGTGGTGCAGACATACATTCAGGCAAAACACCCATACACATGAAATAAATCCCAAAAATATTTTAAATTAAATTTAAAAAGCAATAACAATGGTTGTTAAAAAGTGAAGGCTGTTCCTCTTGAGGCCCCTTCTTCTAGGCCCCCCGCAGCCTTCTACTAGTGCACAGAACTTGGTAGGGCCCTGGCTGCTTTAAGTCTCCACTGCTCTGTGCTGTGTCGGCCCCTTCCCAGCCTCTCGCGATGGCCCCGTCTGATATAGTTCTCTGTGAGTTTTGTCACAGTAACTTTCTCCTGTCTGTGACAAAAATACCTGAAGAGCAACTTTCGGGAGGTGGGGTTTTGACGTGGACTTACAACCCACCCTGGTAGGGGAGGGCGTGGTTGACAGAGCAGGAAGCAGCCAATCACACTTCCTCACAGTCAGGAAGCGGGGACTAACAGGGGAGCTGTGCCCAGAGGCTTGCCTCTTTAGTGATTGTAGATTCTGTTGAAATGTTATGTCACGCTTGCCAGTCAATTCACTTAAGCTTCCATGGGGTGTATGTAGAAATCATTTAAAATACCTAACTCCTGCTGCCACCCTGCCCCAATCAGGAACTCTATTCTAGCAGGCATGCTAGACACACACACCTGCCCCCCAAGAAGGCATGCAGAAGCGGAGTCTGCTGGGGTCTGGAGAGACAGTTCCTTGATTAGAGAGCGTTTACTGCTCTATCAGAGGACCAGAGAAAGGATTCCACAAACAACTCTAACTCCAGCTCCAAGGGATCTGGCACTCCCTTCTGGTCTCTGTGGATACACACACACACATACACACACACACACCCTTACAAAAAGCCAGAATCTTGAAAAAGAGGAGAGAAACAGAAACAACCTACTGGACATACTTGCCATCTCAGATTAAGGCAAGAAGACGGGGGGGGGGGGGGGGGGGGTGCGTGCTGGAGAGATGGCTCAGAGGTTAGGAGCACTGGCAGCTCTTCCAAAGATTTTGAGTTCAATTCTCAGCAATCCCACAGGAACCCCATGCTGGCTCACAACCATCTAGGATAAAATCTGGTGCCCTCTTCTGGCATTCAGGCAAACATACAGGTGGAACACTGTATACATAATAGATAAATAAATAGAAGAAGAAAGAAGAAAGAAGAAGAAGAAAGAAGAAAAAGAAGAAGAAGAAGAAGAAGAAGAAGAAGAAGAAGAAGAAGACGACGACGACCTGGAGTTTGAGGCCAGGCTGGATTAGGTAGCAAAACACTGACAAACTTCCTTTTTAGAGAAAGAATATTAATCACAAGGGTCTCACCTTGTAACCTCAGCCTTCCAAGTGCTGGGATTACAGGCCTTGAAAAGGCTGGGGTGGGGAGGCAGACCAGAGCCCTGACAGAGGCCAGACCTTAATTTCACTTCACTAGAATGGGACAGAGCTGAGCAAGCATGTCTCATGAAAACCACAGCTTATGGGTGACCATTGGCCAGCACTCTCACAACCCCTTCTGCTGGCTCAGTAGTCCCCCAAAGCCCTTCTGCTAGGTCAGCAGATGCCCCCCCCCATTTCCACATGCTAAAGATAGCTTTCCCTACCCTGCTGCAGGAAGGTCCCTAACCACTAGGACCTCCCACCAATCAGCCCCCAGACTAATCTTTCCTCCACCAGTCAGCCTCCGATTAATCCCTCCTCCCTGGAATTCCCCTAAGTTCGCTAAAAAGAAGCTTGTGACTTTCTTTGGGGGGTCACCAAGTGCCACCCCAACGTTGGAATTAATAAAACACCCTTGTTATTGCATTTGTGGCTGGAGGTCTTCTTTGGGGGCTTCTCTCGGTATCTAACAGCATGAACCTCCATATCCAGCAAGGATTTGTAATAGAGGAAGGAGAAAGGGAAACGAAATGGAGAAAGGCTTAACAACGAAGGTTTAGGGTTGTTTGTTTTTTCTGCTTCCCCCCCCCCCCCCGCAACCCCCCAAAGGATTTCTCTGTGTAGCAACTCTGGCTGTCCTGGGACTCGCTCTGTAGACCAGGCTGGTCTCGAACTCCCAGAGATCCCCTTGCCTCTGCCTCCCGAGTGCTGGGGTTAAAGGCGTGCGCTAGCACCGCCTGGCCGATAATGAAATTTCCTGCAGGGAAGAGAACCAGTAAGAACTGCGAGATTCACACAGAATATCAAACTCGCCTTCATTCATTCTGCCAGAAAACGACTGGGGAAACAAAAATTTCGGACACAAAATTGACTGGAGGAAGCGGACTGAAAAAGGAGGAAGCAGGGCATGGTGGCGCACGCCATTAATCCCAGCACTCCCGAGGTAGAGGCAGGCGGATCTCTGTGAGCTCCACGAGGTCTACAGAGCAAGTTCTCGGACTAGCTAGAGCTACGTATAGAGAGACCAAAAACCAAACGAACAAAAAAGAGGAAAGAAATTGTTTTCTTCTGGAATGCCTCGTGCCTTGTTTTCTTAAACTGCTCGGTCAGCAAGGAGTCTTTATCTGGTAGGGATTTTTAAGCCTTTTCATCTCGTACCACGTAGTTAGAAGAAGGCGGCTGACCGGGCCAGCCAAAGGACCCTGGAGGACGGTAGGCGTGGCCTACTAGGGGCGGCAGGAGGGGACGCCCCCTTCCCAGCAAGCACGGCGGCTGCAGGAGCGCGGCTCCGGCCGGCTTTCTCCGGTTCTGTACTGCCCCGCCATGGAGGAGCTTCAGAACGGCGCGGCGCTGCCCAGGCGCGGGCGGGGGAGGCGGCGGCGCCAGCCGCAGCCCCGCGACGGGTCGGTCTTGGCCCTGCCCTCGAGGCCCCGGAGGATCCGCAGGCATCGGAAAACTGCGGCGGCCCGCGTGGCCGCGCTGAGGGCTCGTGCGCTGCTACGGAAGGCCTCGGCCTCCAAGGTGGAGCCGGCCGCGGGCTCGCTGGAGGCGCCTGCCGAGCGGCGGGAGCCCTCGCGCTCGGCGGAGCAGCGGCCGGCTTCGGTGTCCGTGCGGCGCCGCGTGGAGGGACGGCCCGCCGTCTCTCGCCTCCTGGGGACCCCGGCCCCCGTTCCGGGCCCGCGCGTGGATGACGCGGAGCGGCCGTGGGACTCGCCGCTGCAGCAGGTGTTGGCCGAGCTGAACGGCATCCCCAGCAGCCGGAGGCGCGCCGCCCGCCTCTTCGAGTGGCTCCTGGCGCCCCTGCCCCCGGATCACTTCTACCGGCGCCTGTGGGAGCGGGAGGCGGTGCTGGTGCGGCGGCAGGACCCCAGTTACTACGGAGGCCTCTTCTCCACCGCCGACCTGGACTCGATGCTGCGCCACGAGGACGTGCAGTTCGGGCAGCATCTGGACGCCGCGCGCTACATCGACGGGCGGCGGGAGACCCTGAACCCACCGGGCCGCGCCCTGCCCGCCGCCGCCTGGTCTCTGTACCAGGCCGGCTGCTCCTTGCGCCTTCTCTGCCCGCAGGCTTTCTCGCCCACCGTGTGGCAGTTTTTGGCCGTGCTCCAGGAACAGTTCGGGAGCATGGCCGGCTCTAACGTTTACCTCACGCCCCCCAACTCCCAGGGCTTTGCCCCACACTACGACGACATTGAGGCTTTCGTGTTGCAGCTGGAAGGTCGGAAACTCTGGCGTGTCTACCGACCGCGGGACCCAAGTGAGGAGCTGGCTCTGACATCTAGTCCCAACTTCAGCCAGGAGGACCTTGGTGAGCCGGTGCTACAAACGGTGCTGGAACCTGGCGACCTGCTTTATTTTCCTCGGGGCTTCATTCATCAAGCCGAATGTCAGGATGGAGTCCACTCTCTACACCTCACCGTGTCCACCTTCCAGCGCAATACATGGGGTGACTTCCTGGAGGCTGTACTGCCCCTGGCCGTGCAAGCAGCAATAGAAGAAAATGTGGAGTTCCGCAGGGGTCTGCCTCGAGACTTCATGGATTACATGGGGGCCCAGCATTCAGACTCTAAGGATCCGAGAAGAACAGCTTTCATGGAAAAGGTGCGGGTCTTGGTCGCGCGCCTGGGACATTTCGCTCCCGTCGATGCTGTGGCCGACCAGAGAGCCAAAGACTTCATCCACGATTCTCTGCCCCCCGTGTTGACTGATCGGGAACGGGCACTGAGTGTTCACGGGCTCCCAGTTCGCTGGGAGGCTGGAGAGCCTGTCAATGTGGGGGCCCAGTTGAGCACAGAAACAGAAGTCCATATGCTCCAGGATGGCATAGCTCGGCTGGTGGGTGAGGGAGGCCGTTTGTTCCTCTACTACACGGTGGAAAACTCCCGCGTTTATCATCTGGAGGAACCCAAGTGCTTGGAAATGGACCCACAGCAAGCTGACGCCATGGAGCTCTTGCTTCGCTCCTACCCAGAGTTTGTGAGAGTAGGGGATCTGCCCTGTGACAGCGTGGAAGGCCAGCTTTCCTTGGCAACCATGCTGTATGATAAGGGGCTGCTGCTCACCAAGACCCCTCTTGTCTGAGTTTGTGTCTAGAGGACGGCTGGAAAGAACCACCGCCGGCACCTTTTTCTCCCTTAAAGAAGTCATGGTCTTACCTTGCTGAGCATCAGTATGGTTACGTTTACCTTTATGGCTGCTTCAGTGTCGCAAAGCTCGGACCCTTTTCTAGGAGGAACCTCTTCATCTAGGTACAAAAGTAAACAGAAATTGGAGCAGGGGGGAAAAGCTGTGTCTGCACAAGTAACTACCCCTGTCATTTCACAGTACCAACTGCATTCCCTGCGGCCTTCAATGTGTTGTGTGGCATTGGCTGTGCCAATCTGCTTGAGACCTTAAGGGATTTTTATATGGAAGTTGCTTCTCTGCGTTCTCTTTCATCAATTTGTGGGACGGGATGGGGACTATGTTAAGTTTGTATGAATGTTAGAAGATTTATTAAAAAGCGCCAAAGATTGTTTCTCTTTTCTAAGCCTAGATTTTTTTTTTTTTTGGTGTGTGTGGGGGGGATGGTTTGAAAAGTGTGAGACAAGGAAGAGATAAGGGAGATATGGCAGAGATGAAAGGCGATGTGATATATGATGTCAAAGGAGTATATTAACTTTTTTAAAGAAGAGGGCTAGGTAGAGCAAGTGTATGCTTGGCATATGTGGTGCCTTGGGTTCATCCTCAGCATCACACTCATTAAAGAAGAGAAGCAGAGTGGTTGGGACCATTTATTAGCTTTGGAGGTAGTTTACTCACTTTAGTTATGCTACTTGAACTCCAGCTGGGCAGTCCTAAAGGAAAAGCTTCCACTGGCAGTCAGCTTTGCAGTATATATTATATTTGCTCAGTGCTTGGCTTAAGTCAGTGACTGACTGGCACTGCTCCCTAGAGGACAGTGTCATGTCACCTGGTTATGCGTTCATAGGCTTTAGTCATCCAACTTTTAGCACGCTGGCCACAGGGAAGATTGGTGTTCAAGTTACTTTCCACTCTCATTTGTTTTCCCCTGGCAGTTGGACGAAACTTCCCCAAATCTGGCAAGTGCATATTCTCAATCAATATTCATGATTGGTGGAAGAGAGCCTGGTGCACCAGAAAGAGCACTTGGAAGCAGAAGATCCGGGTTTGGGGTGGTAGCTGGTAGGCACCTGGCTGAATGACCTGAGGTTACTGCTTACAGATTTTGTAAGTATATTTTGGTATAGTTCAACTTTTGACCCCTCACCATCTAGAGTGTATCTAGGCCTCTTAAGATCATGTCATCATAACTCATAGATTCCGTTTTTAAGGTTGAGAGCTTTCAGAAGTTATTTTTTTCCTTAAGTTAGAACATAACATGATGGTTCTCCTTCCGGCTGCACTTTCCGGAGATGGCCACTCTGACAGATGAAATGTGTAGGGTCTCTTGGGGTGCTTAATCAAACACACATAGTAGTAATTTGTCTTTCTAAAGACTTGTGCTTTTCTACTATGCCCTTTTAAACTCAGTTCAGATGGAGCTACCTTTTAAGTTACACACAGTTGCAGATGGATAGAAACCTGGGGAGTGGGGACAGTGAGTGGAGACCAGGAAGGACGATGAGTAGCCTTCCTGACTTAAGTCATACAGGGCTCCTGTGAAGTTCCCCAGTGTCTAGGTCCCCGGATCGTCTGGTAAGAAGAGTCAAGGGGTGGGTTCGCCCAGAAGAAACCTACTCTCAAAAATGTCTTCAAGGAAAGTGTGGAGTTCCAGTGGTTCTTGGCCCTCCTTGGGTTCTGAGTAAATACGTCTTGATTTTTCCTTCACATTCTTTATGGCCACTTCCATCTTCAATATTTTCTCTGTCAGCAAGTGCTTTTGACTTAGTGTTTCAATCTAAGGGGAAAATGTTTAGAAAAGCAAGCAACCAACAGGATTAATGAGGAAAAAGCTTTAGAGTAGTTTGATTATGCCAAGCATGGAGCTGAGAAGCTGAGCAAGAAGATCATTAAAATCATTCTGAGCTACATAGGAAAACTCTCAAAAAACCAAAACAAAAAAGATAAAGTAATTGACTAGATCATGCTTATTAGTAAAACCTGGAAGCCCTGGATTTCCTCCTGAAAACACAGTTTGTACTTACTTACCTTGTTCTTGATTTCCTGAAGCATTTCTTGATTTCCTTCCATTTCAAAGTTGAGTGCCATCATTGCCTGGTAAATTTCCCTGAAATGTATGAAAGATTGTTCTACCCTGTCCTTAAAAAGAAAGCATGGTGTTAAACAATGTAGGATTTGGAATTAGGCAAGAAACCCTAAACTGCACTCGTCAGCTGAGTCTTCTCTGCAGACATGATGTGATAATTTACACGGCCCTTGTGCAGTTCCAGAGTATTTATGTGAAGGCAGTGACAGTTACTGTTATTAAACACCTTTGTGAAAGTCAACCAAATGTCATTTCATTAATTGTCACCAACAGCTTCATACTGTAGACTTTCATCTGCATTGGAGGATTGAGACAGAAAGGGCTAGGAGGAGGGAGGCACAGCACTTACAGTGGGGATACATGGCATTGAAACCCTGGTTTTGTTGACTCTATTGTCTCAGTAGCTACTAGATAAATGTTTGTTGGATAAATGAATAATTTAAAACTCCCTGGAAGAAGAGAAATAACACATTATCTATGGGAGCTGTGACAGTCTAATTATGGCAGGATTTACTGTTACCCGCCTAGCCTGAAAAGACATATTTAGTGCTCAAGGATTGGAGAGTTGGCAGTCTCGGAGGTCATGGCAGATACCAGAGGTTTAGTGCTTACTTAAGAACAGCCTCGTGTTCCTCCAGGAGTAGCACATCCAGAAAGGTGTCCCTGACCTGGTTTCCTTGAAGCTTGAGGGCTAGGATGCTACGGCAAGCTTCCAGTCGTACATCTGGTGATTCTTCATAGTGGATAGCCCAGAGCAGAAGATCTGTCAGCCGGGGACTCACTTGCCCAATCTGTCCCAAAGCTGTAGAGGTGACAGGGCAAGCATGTTCCACTGTCATTGAAGACTTAAGTTGATATATCCTACATCCAGAAGGAATTGAGTATTGCAGACAGTATCTTGGGGGATGGCAGTTAATCATAAGATAGTAAAGTGAGAAGTAGTGAAGTTTAGAAAGGAACTTTAGAGAGCTAGCAAAGCGCTGTTCAGCATGTGGAGTGTTTGATGCCTAGCTTTGGGGCAGGGTCTTGCTGTGTAGCCCTGGCTGGCCTCACATTTGCAGTGATCCCCCTGCCTTTGAGGGCTGCAGTTAGAGGTGTGTACCACCCTGCCTGACTGCACTAGGATAGTTCTTCCAAAGGACCCCTAAGAGGAGTGTTTCTTCGTGTCCTTGCCTATTGGGATATAAACAAAGACAAGATTGCCTGCTCAGGAATTAGATTGGGGGCAGATCTGACATGGAAGAGCAGAGTAGTTAAGATAGACTGGTCAGGGAGGAAGGCACAATTATTTTTCAGGATTTCCTAGGTCTTGTTCTCCTAGGGGGTCTATCAGAGACTATTTCAAAAAGAGAAGCAGCACAGAGGTTCTAGAAAAAAGCCTGAAAAACTGAAGAGCAAGATTTTGTTTGTTTGTTTGTTTTTCAAGACAGAGGTTCTCTTTGTAACAGTCCTAGCTGTCCTGAAACTGGCTCTGTAGACCAGGCTGGCCTCAAACTCAGAGAGATCTACCTGTCTCTGCCTCCCAAGTGCTGGGATTGAAGGCATGCGCCACCACTGAAGAGCAAGTTTTAAGCTCTTTGTAACTGTCTTAAATCTGATTTGACTCTTAACAAGTGCTATAGTTGAAATCTCCGGGGAAGGCAAGGTATATCCAACAGTGGATATCAACTAGAAACTTATCCTTAATTCTGTTGGTGGGGGCTGTATAGTTTGTTCTTTGCTAACAAGTTTAAACAGACCTAGACTTAGAATCATTAGCTAAACCTGTAAAAGAAAATCTCTACACTTTAGCTGTCTCACTAGAGTTTCTAGGTATCTGTTAGCTCAAAGAAAGTATTTCAAGTCTAGGGCTTAGAACTATTTCTGAAATACCTCGAATGGCGAAAGCCTTGATTTTCCAGTAGGGATCTCTGTGCATCAGATTCAGGAGGCATTCAAGCACCTGCAGTAGACAAAGAAAAGTTGAGTGGAAAGAACCAGAGTAAGAATGGACCAGAAACAGGGACCCCACTTACTTCTAGGGATGCTTTAACTGGAAAAGCAACCTTCTATCAATTCTAGTGACTAATGGGCTACAGCCCCAAGTATCAGCCTATATAACTAGCTGAATTGTCTAGTCCTTATGTATTTTTCTTAGCACGTAGATCTGTAGCTATACATACACTAACTACATGCTCTACTACTGAATTGTACCCCTAGTCTCAAAACTTTCTCCCCAATGATTCCCCCCCCCCCCCCACTCACTTTTGAGACTGTATTACTTTGTAGCTTAGGTTGACCTCAAATGCTTTCTAATGTGATGGGTGTTTTGCCTGCATGTGTTTGTCTATGCACCATGTAGTACAATGCCCTCAGAGGCCAGAAGGTGGCATTGGATCCCTTGAAACTAGAATTACAGATAATTGTAAGCTGCCATGTGGATGCTGGGAATGAAACCGAGTCCTCTGGAAGAGGAGTTGGTGTTCTTAACTGCTAAGCCATTTCTCCAGCCCCTTACCCCAGATTCGTGAACTTCTGTCTCTTACCTTACCTCCCAAGTGCAAGGATCACACCATGCTTCACCTAGACTTCCTGTGAATACTTCTGTCTAGCTTCCCCCTAATATTGAGGGAGTGTAAACTCTATTCATTGGCACTTTTAAAAAAAATTTTTAAGTAACTTATTTATTTTTATTTTATGTACATTGGCGTTGTACCTGTATTATGTTTGTGTGAGGGTGTCAGATCTTGAAGTTACAGACAGTTGAGAGCTGCCATGTGGGTGCTGAGAATTGAACCCAGGTCCTCTGGAAGAGCAGCCAGTGCTCTTATCCACTGAACCATCTCTCCAGTCCCCATTGGCACTAACTCAATCCTATCAGTGACCAGGTATTAGGAAGCTAGTTAACTGATATGAGAACAGATTTGAGAGCGTGGCATGCTCTGGCTTGAAGTTTGGGCTCACTAGGCTAAATGCTTCTTACTAATTGATGTGGTCTGTGTCTCCTTTCACCTTCCTGTCACTTCTCATCCCACGTTCCCACAGGATAGTGAGTGTACCGAGCACAGCAGAGATGTTGACACTCTCTTCAGGTCCAACAGATAAGATGACAACATGCTGCCTTGACTTACCATCTTGTCACAGATCTGCAGGGCACCTGCCGCCACACAAGCTGCCTGCCGAATTGCTATGAATTCATCAGAGAAGCAGCTCAGGAAGCTTGGGAGAAGCTTGGCTGTCATGAGCTTGAGCACACGGATCAGGGAGAGGGCCTCAATCCGTTCCTGGGAATTTCCTTGACTCAGCTTAATCCTGGAAGACACAAGTGACTTTTATTTCCCTTAAACTTTTCTGTGCCTTGTTCCCTTCCACCATGCCCTCAGGATAGAATCCTAGCTTTGTGGGTCCAGTTATGAAGACATACCTTTCTAATCATTTGTTTCACTGGGTTCAGACCTCAGGTGCCTTATTTTCCTGAACTCCTGTTACCTCGCATATGGTAGTCATTCAGGTGTCTTGAACAACCAAGTAAAGGAAAGTGTCAACTTGTACCTCCTCTTACCAATTCAGTGCTCATTTTGGCAGTTGTCTCCCAGCCTGGAATGCCTGTATCTCTGTGGAACTTGGCCTTACTGCCCACATTGAGTATCCCATTTTTCTATGGCATTGTTCTAGTTTAGCATGGTTTGGTTTTTTTAATTAGGTATTTGTATATTGTGTTTGTGTTCATCAGAACTGTGTCTTCCCTAAAATACCTGAAAGACTGCCCTCATACTTAGTGGGCATTCAACACTTCTTTGGCTAGCCATGGTGGTGGTTCTTGTAGGGACTGATCTTTTTTTTTTTTTTTTTGGAGACAGGGTTTCTCTGTAGCTTTGGAGTCTGTACTGGAACTCGCTCTGTAGACCAGGCTGGCCTCAGACTCACAAAGATCCACTTGTCTCTGCCTCCCAAGTGCTGGGATTAAAGGCATGCACCACCACCGCCCAGCTGGGACTGAACTTTTTGCAGTGGGATCTAGCACAATGCTGATCATACACAGAACTCAGCAGATGCTGGCTGGCGGCAGGTCACCAGGCACTCCTAAGGAAGCGTTTCTGAGCTTACAGTGACTAAATCTTACCTGATCATGTCATGCACCTCTTTCCCAAGGTTCATTTGCCCCAGTGCTCTGGCAGCCGCTTGTCTTACTTCTTTGTTCCAGTCGTTCCACATCAGCTGGATTAGTTTATGTTTCATATCCTACCAATAGGTATGATAATTGGCTCATTCATTTTGTCTTTGACACCAGGGTTTTGCAGATGATATTTCTATGTACAGATGACACAGTGGGGGCTTTGATTAACTTGCCCAAGGATAATCTGCTAAGTGCCTATGCTTGGTCTTAGACCCCAGGTCTGTTTCCCAAACTCATCTTTTAAACTCCTCTGTCATGTTGGTACCAACATGAATGTAAGAGACTTGAAATTTGAGAGTATTGCATAATTGAGTAATCCCTCATTCCAGATTGCCTGAGACTTCCAGGTTGGTAGTGAAAGCCCATGTCCTGTACAAAGCAGGACAGTTGGTCACTGTATCAGGGTCTTCTCTCTTACTGGAAGGGAGAACATTACTGCAGTTGTGAATGATGATACTGTAACTATGTGTAAACTAGCTTCCGAGCCTGAAACATTTACCTTTACCTCCATCTGGTACCAGGTATTTTTCTATTTAGAACTCAGCTCAAAAGACACCTCCCTAGTAAAGTCTCATGTGCCTCCCATAAGCATAAGAAATCCCTATGTATACTATAGTGTCTTACAGCTCTCTTGTTATAGGTAGTTAGCATTACCAAGGTAAGATACAGTTCTGCACCAATGCCCTCATAATGCTTACCAATGTAGAGGGGGTGTGGTCAGAAACTGCTAGCTTATTGAATGACTAAAAGAACTCAGGCACATTGCCCTTTTAAATTCCTGCGGTCTATGATGAAGTCCTCATCTGTAACTTGTGCACAGCTATGTGTTTTAGCAGAGGAAACTATAGCTATGAGAAAGAATCAGCCTGTTTTCAAACCTCTTCAGGTTATTGTGCGTTAACAAAATGTAAGGGTTAAGAATGGAGGGCACCGCTTCTAAGCAGAAATAGCCTTGTTAGTGGCTATACTGACAGTACGCAGTGTGATCAAAAGATGGGGCAGCTCTAAGGAAGAAGGGACTGATTCCACGTGGACAGCTAGTGATTAGAATGCAATAGGAAAAAGAGGTTCAGGTTTCACTAGCTCAGAATTTCTTCCTCAGTTGTAGCCAAGTTCCACACCTTCGAGTTGTCCAACCACCTACATTCAGTGGTACACGCCAGTCTCCTAAAAGTTTCACGAGAGTTGTGGGAGCTTGTGTAAGAAAGCTGTGAAATGGCTGTGAACTTGGATGGGCCAGAGTGCAGAATGTTCTTCCTACAAGGGGGCCTTCTAGAAAGAATTGCATAAACTTTAAGTTAGTGCACTTGAAAGCAAGGGCATGAAGGGAATGCTTATCTCTGTGGGAAAAGCAAAGGCCTGAGAAGACTATTGGCTCTTTTCACATGGCCAAAGAGGACAGGACAACACCAGGTGCACTCCCTCATTGTACTTGTATGTGCTTAAGCTAACTGTAAATGTTACCTCATGTTTTGCTTGCTTTAATAATAAAAATGAGAAGTGCTTTGTTGGTGTCATTCAAGTTCAAAAGTCTGTAGTCCCCTGGTACTCCATACAGGTCTTTGGCATGTTCTTTGATCCAGGGAGACAGTCTCACTGGCCACCAGAGGGGTCAACATCAATTCATTTGTATTGCTAGTCTTGTTGCTCCAGTTGCAATGCCATTGTTTTTGAAAGCAGGGACCATGTATTTACATATCTATGCTGAATATTCAGGGACCCATTTGTTTAGTTGGGTTGTTGGGTCCTTTCAGTGTGCTTCTCAAATCAAGGACCAGTATTCAGCATAGGGTGAGGGAAGAATGCACGCATCACTGACTGATACTTTATAATGTCTACTGATACTGTTTATATGTATATTTGATAGTGGCTGTGTCACAGTTTGTGGATTGCCAGCCCAAGAAACACTGGTTTAAAATGAGAGAAGCACAAAGCGGCAATGAGATCCTAGATAGGAGAAAAAGTCAGAAGATTCCAGGCCAACTTTGCCAGGCTTTCTGGGAGCAAAGACAGAAGACTTACTATGCAGATGTTTCCACTGATCCGGGAGAAAGCGCGGCAGGCCATAATGCGGTCCTTCCATTGCCCACTGTTCAGCTCCACAGCAAGCATTGTGTGGATCAGGGTCTGAGGAAAAGGATGACCTGCATTGATAGTCTCTTTTACTCTTAGAGATTCTAGAATCTTGAAGAAATTATATCCTAACTATGGCATCCAGCGTAGTAAATGCCTCAAGGTCACGAAATATTTGTTCCTCTAAAGGGACAGAGTGGGTTTATAAGAGATGGGGCACTCTTCTACCCAAGCAATCTGGCTTGAGTTATAAACCATAAAGAAAATACAGGTCTGATAATCTGAACAGAAAATGAGGGCCTTCCCTTCTGACTATTTCCAGTCCCAGGGATGATGGTTTCTATCTGCCGCAGCCTGTGTGGAATCTCATGTTTCTGCCCCAAATAAACAGAGTTGTGGGGGTCTCAGTGAGAAGCCTCCGTGTTTGTATGTCATGACTCAGCCTTTATGCAGCTAGAAACTTCTTGGCTAGCATCTCACACACCCCTGTACACTTCTCCATATCCAGTTTTACACAGGCTTGGTGTACTTGGCCTATGCTTAACATCATTCTCAGCCACCTGCATTCTCCATTCCTTGTGTGCACCAACCATAGACACTTACTCCTCAAGACCTCAGTTTCTTCTCTCTCTGAAGTGCACACATACCGTCTTTGCACTGAGATGGCTCAGGAGGATATAGGACTGTTCCTCAGTGGCCTCATTCTTCTTATTAAAGAGCTGGTGGAGGATCCTTTTAATCACTGGGTATGTGGCAATGCCTTCCAGAGCCAAGCACTGAGCTGCAGCCCAGCTGTCCACACTATTACCTGACCAGTGGGTTGAAAAAAATTAGTTCAGAATGTCTCCTAGAGAGGACATTTGAATTGATAGCTGTGACTGCTAACTACCTGATAAATGAGACACTTTCCAGTTTCCTACCGAGTCTAGAAATCCACTCCCATACTCCAACCATACGTTAACATTTTAAATAAAAACAAAAAACCTGCAAAACTTTTTTTTTTTTTTTGAAGAACGGAGTTCATTTAGTTCAGGTTAGCCTAGCAGATATGACTTTGAGCTTTTTGGGTGATGGCAGTACTAGGGATAGAATCCCTAGTGCATGTGGTGTAAGGCCCTGTGTTACCAAGCTATAGCTCCAGTCCTGACCTTGACTTCTGATCCCCTTGCCTTTACCTTTCAAGTGCTAGAATTAAAGGTGTGTGCCATGAGGCTCGACTAAAACATTACAAGCTCCTCTTGGGTAACACTTCCGACATAGCTAAGAAATGCAGCTGTTTCTTTCTGTGGAGATGGGGAAGGCTAAGGAGGCTTGGGAGGAAGTTCCTTCCTAAAACAGATTAATTAAGCAGTGGATTGTTCATATACAGAAGGCCAGACCAGCCAAACAGTTTCCCGTGCTAAGGCAAGGAGCAGCTAACTCATCTCCAGACAGGTCAGTGGCCTCGCCTGACAGCCTTGTTAGCTCCAATATGATAATGCCTAGGTGGTACTGTTCTGAAATGGAAGCATGATGTGTTCAGGAGGTGATTAAAAAAAAAAAAACTTTCAAAATGTACTTGACTAGCCGGGCGGTGGTGGCACACGCCTTTAATCCCAGCACTCGGGAGGCAGAGGCAGGTGGATCTCTGTGAGTTCGAGACCAGCCTGGTCTACAAGAGCTAGTGCCAGGACAGGCTCCAAAGCCACAGAGAAACCCTGTCTCGAAAAACCAAAAAAAAAAAAAAAATGTACTTGACTATTGTTATGCTGTCTTTTCAATAATAAAATGTTATGTATTGTTGTATTTACTTCTTGGTACTAGGGATCAAATTCTGGGTCTTAATGTGTTGGGCAATCATACTACCATTGTGCTAGAAGTCTAGCCCTGAAACTATCGGCCAGCATGTATTACTTGTATTGTTAACCGGGATTTGGAGTGCTGTTTCAATGCGTGCATACAGCATTGAATTGGTCAAATCCACTTGCCTTCACCCTACCTTTCTGCTCC